AATTATAATTTCGACATTTTTAACGTGCTTTCGGATAATGTCTATAAATGCATCAAAAATTCCAACATCCTGCTGACACTTAACTTGATAATCAGAAGTTCTCTTTATTACTGCGCCAATCCCATCGGGGGCACCTTTACCGTGCCCAGCTTCTTGATAATTCCTATAAAATAAAAGGCTTAACTGAGGGGAGTCATTCTCCAGTTGCGTTAAAATATAAAAAATATATTTATTTCGGTACTGGCTAGAAGGGCCATCTGTCAAAATGTGAATACGATTAATTTGTGGCAATTTATTGGAAACAAATTTAAATAAATGATCTAAATGAGCCCACACAGCCGCTGCATCGTGACGTGTGCACTCACTAACTGTGCAAAGAGAATAGACTTCCGTCGCATGCATTTCTTTTTTTAAATAAACCACCGCTGTGTGAAGGCACACTTGACCACGACTGCCACCAAAGTGCATGCTCTGAACTTCCTCGGCATATTTATAGCCATAATTTTCAGAAAAATCCATATGAATCAACGATTCGTTGCTAGGTAGTGATTCTTTTAAACGTTTTATTGTAGCATACTGGTTAGCAATGTTGTGTGTGATAAAAATTTAGGCAATAAGTTCTCCAGTTTTATTATCAAGTTACGTGGGTCTGACGTCTGAGGCTTTTTCTTTATTATTTTTATTTCTTTGGTATCTACTATCTTTGTATCTCTTTCCCATTCTATGTCTTGTATCTCTTGATCAATTCTTTATATACTATCAATCTTGTCTTTACAATTATCGCATTTGCGGTTAAGGCAATCTACATTATATTTATCACAGCAGACTTGCATTATCAAATTATGACTGTCTTTTACATCAATAATGTTATTTTTATTTAGTGCTGATATTAATAAGTTAAAATTTGTATGCAATGTACAGGCACATGTATCACGATCATCAACTGGAAGAGAAACCCAAAAGGGCCTGAGCCTTGTTAATGTGGTGTAACAGATTTTAATGTAGGTGTTTTCTGCAAAAAATTTCTTATGTAGATTTTTCATTGAATCTATAAGATATTTTATTTGTTTGAATTTCCATTTTTTTTCTTGTATTGTTTCTTGCCGGGAGTAATGCGACTATTTATATCGTGTTCTTAAAAATTTTATATCAAATTTTGGACGCTCAAACCCTTATTTTGTGTTTTATTCGTTAGCCGTTGTCTAAGGCACACTATACGAAGATGTGTCGAAACTTTAAAATGTTTGAATTTCTTTCTATCCAGCTCGTTCGGGGCCAACTGAGCACACAAGGATCGCGCGGGGTAAGGAACGCGGTAAACGGGGGTATCTAGCGCGTTTATTGCGCATTAATGACGGCGACACATGAAAATTGAGCTTTTTTGGAAATCTTCAAAATAATATTATGTGGTAATAGGACAACGCGCGTGTCGTCAAGACAACTGATTTACAGTATTTTGATTTACGGTAACATCAAGGTTACAAGAACGTATAAAAACTTTTATATTACAAGTTTGTAAGCTATACGTCGCCACAAATGCAGAAGTAGAAAGTTGTGAGAAACTGTTAATAGATTACTTAATGTACATTTTTGTACTTGTTTAACGTTGTTTTAGATAATGTAAAATACGTTAAATTATTATATTATATGTTTATAAATTATTCAGTAGTAATGATGCGGCTTAGTAGCCTAGTGGGCAGAGTTTGCGAAGTTTGCGGTAGCGAATTCACGTTCCGGTTAATTCGTTTTTTTATTTTATTTAGCTTATTTATTTACAAATTGAAATATTTATTGAATTGATATTCAATTTTTGTGAAATTACTCGACTAGTTCGTTATAATTAGTAATATAAAGACGAACACTTAGAAAAAAATCCCCACGATCCGGCCGGATTCGAACCGAGACGTCTCCTAGCAAACCGTGGCAGACGCCATGCCAATTAAGAGGGAGCAGAGGAAATGTTCGATTTGATTTTAGAGGGGTATATCCACTTTAAAGTTAAAAATAAAATATTGTATAAGTGACTACAAGATATATTCAAGCATAGACATTAATCAGAAACATAAAACAATAAAGTTTCCTCGATAGACAAAAATCACGAAATGACCTCTAATTTTCACTTTTTTTGGATTTATCCTCGAAATGCTACTGGTTATTAGGACAAAAATTAGACAATTAATTATATTTATGTATGATCGACAACTGTCACTACGGATTTTTTAAATCCCTTTAGTTTTAGAGTTATTCCGCTAAAACGAATTTGGTACTTTTAACGCGCAAAATTTAACATTTCCTGTCGCATGTCACGCAAACTTCAGGCATATATGTATTTGTTCATCACAAATTTGGGCGGAGACAACGTCAAAACTTTTTTGGCATGAGAGCTCTTAAGCCACGGAACGCACCACCGGACCTCACAAATTTTTCTTGCTTGTTGTAGGACCTTTTTTATTTGGTTTTCAACGACTTTTTAGCCGTAACGCCATCTGTGCAAAATCTATTTCTTCACTCAACCAGGTGCCTTTACAGCTACCAGCAGCAGACTACAGATGTCGCTTTAGTAATTCTAATTAAGTTAATTGAATGTAAGGATGTTTCAATAGTATGTTATAATTATTATAACAAACTAGTGAAGTAACTGCCTCCGTGGCCTAATAGTTACCATGCCGGACTGCCACGCAGAGGTCCCAGGTTCGATTCTCAGGCCGGGAGAAATATTTTTATGGCCTACATTTATTTGTCTCGTGAGTGTAATATGTGGTTGTCTATGTGTCCGTTCATGGCACCCGCGGCACAGGGTTTCTCTAGTATGGGGCTATGTTGAATGTGTGCGTAAAAAAGAAACTGATGGGGTAATTTCACAAAAATAATTGAAATTTTCGAGTTCTTAGGTTTTCGCGATTGTTACACATACGAAATGAAACTATTTTTCCGGATTTAAATGTTAAATTTTTCAAAAAAAAATTCATTCAATAAAATAATTTGTAAAACTTAATGTAGCGTAAATTGGAATGTTTTCTTTGTAAAAATAAAAATAAGGTATTTAATTAATAACTATTGTAACTATAGGGAAAAAATAGGGTGGTTTGCATTAATATTAGACATAACTGGTTGAAGACTGTACCACCTCAGTCAACCGTGGCCATGGGACCTGTAAAGGGCCCGAAACGTCGGTTTGTTTGAAAAAACAAATATACGAGATTTAAATCCGGAAAAATAGTTTCATTTCCTAATTGAAATTTTATTATATAATTTTTTTTAATCAAAATGATTAAGAGACAATTAAAAAAAAGACAGCTTAAGTAGGTTAAAGGAAAAAGATGTTGAGCGTTTCGCTTCAGTTATGACCGCCGCCGGCGCCGACGCGAAACGTACGTCTTTTTCGCTCCTATCATATGCACTTGAAGTTTTTTCTGACCAGCCTAATGCGATTCCGTATCGATAACTGTGAACTCACACGTTAAGCCAACGGAGCGAGAAGAAGTATCTTTTTTTTATAAAATGTAAGTGCGCATTTGACCTCCATCTCACCTGATGGAAAGCAACGATGAGGTCGACGATGTAGCATGCACACTTAAATAGTGCTACGTATAAGTCACTTGACATCTTGCAACTGCCAATATTGACACAGATATTCAAACACAGTTCTTCGCTTCATTGCATTGACTTACAAATAAATGGACGACGGGTCTAATACAAAAACCACGAAAAAAATGTCCCAAGTCAACCTATTCGAAATTTAAATTGTAATGTCATCGCAGTATCGCGCTGTCCGTAGAACAAATGAAGACTAAAGCGGAGTTTGGCGCTCTGTATACGATTTTAGCGCCTTACAAGTGCGGACACTTTTTAGCGCGGACCCGACGTCCATATAATTGTAAGTCAATGCTTCATTGGTAGAAAATGTGCTAGCCGAAGTTAACTACAAAGGTTTAGGTAAATAACTAAATAATGGTAAAGAAGTATTTTATAAGGCATCACCTGATTACTTATTGTAAACTATTAGGGTGAGGACAGACGAGCGCAATTTTGTGAGTTGTGAGTTGCGTTTTTTGAGTTGCGCAGTTTGCGCGAAATTCGGTTGGAGCAAACGAACGTATTTTATTCAGTTGCTTTTAAGCGTTTATACGGGGTGTTTGTGTCGTAATAGTGTAATTGATCCATTAAAAATGGTATGCATTTATGAAGCATTAGAAGACGATGTTAGTAAAAGAAGCTGGGTACATCCACTCAATATGAAACGATTAAAGTATGGGCAGTTTCATATATTAAATACAAGTTTATGTGAACATGCAGATCAATTTATTAAGCTACATGCCAATAAATGTTTTTCAAGAATTATTAAGCCTAGTAAAACCTTTTATTATTAAGTCAGATACAAATATGAGACAAGTCATCAGTCCAGAGGAAAGAATAATAATAACAATCAAGTAAGTTGTTATTTTTTAATTATTTATATTTTAATCTTCGTATCGAACATTTTCGCAAGAAACGTTTATATTTACGCGCATCCTATACCAAAGTGACCCCTTCCCTCACCCCTACCTCCACCCGCGCCACTCCGTCAGACGATGCGACCGAAAGTCAGTTGTCATTATGCACGTGAGCCGACAGTACTTTTATATGAAACCGAATGCAACTCAAACTAAGCGACTCACAACTCAAAAAATTACGCTCGTCTGGCCTCACGCTTACACTTACTCCCTTGCAAGCAGAGGCCGTAGGTTCGAACCTCTTGAGTTTCTGGGAATATATGTGCGAAATTCAACTCAAAATTACCATGAGCTTTTCGGCGGAAGAAAACATCGTGACGAAACCTACACGTTAAATAAGGTTCTCAACACTCGGAAAACGTGTGAAAAATCCCCGACCCGTATTGGGCCAGTGTTACGGACTACGCCCTAAACCCTCGCCTGAGAGGAGACCCGTGCCCACTAGTGGTTCGTACAAATGGGTTGATGATGAAACAACGTCGATAATAACGAAAAAAATTTTTTTAGAGACAGATAGTGCAGATCTGGAGGCTGATGGTGCGGAAGTGGCAATGGGGAGTGGGCGCAAACGAGGGGTGGGAGTGGTCGTCCCGGCGGAGGGCGCATACGACCCTAAGCAGTATCAGGATCTGAAAGTTCCTGCGGAGATTGATAATTTGTTCCAATATATTATGAAGTGAGTACCTTTTTTTTTTGACGGGGGGGAAATCTTTATGGATACCCCTGAGCTCAGGGAGACTCAGGGGTTATGTGGGGACTCTCCCTCCAGACTGGAGGGCCTAATGAAGTGAGTACCTAATAACATTTTATTACCAGTGATCAGAATTGAGGAAGTTAAATTACCTAATGTATGAACGTTTTTTTAATATGGACATACCCATTTCGTCATCATTTTCTATATTGATAACTATGATAAGTGGTAAATGTTAAAAAATTACATTATGATTGTAATTTTTATATGTATTGTATTATATTTATATATTATATAGCCCTATTTACATCAATATTATAATTTATAAGGCTTCAATATTTTGTATCATTGTGGACAACTCTTTTGGCCTAAGATATTTCATGTCAAGTTATGTTATTTGTAAGATATTTTTAAGTTGGCTGTTGTTGTTCCTTAATAAATAAAATAAAATAAAATAAAATCATCGCATATAAAATTTCTTTTTTTACTGTTTATTTTCTAAACATTCCAAAATGTAGGTTGTCTCCATTGACTTACAAAAAGTCAATGGTTGTCTCATGTTTATTTTTTAAATGGCGTGTGACGATACAACCTCTTTCATCGTCATCCAACCTTTTTGTCACCCTTTTCTCTGGTTCCTGGCCACCAATTTTGAATCGTTCTTAAATTCCTTTTGTTCTTCGTCACTTTTCTTCTTTCCATCGTGACTCTCTACTAAACTCCCGAAGCGAGCGCACATGCTATTTCTCATTATACTAAATTACAAATACAATAGTTTCTTATATACTTTTAACGATGTAACCAGTTTATACAAATACATCGTACACATTTCTGTGGAAAAGTTCATAATATTGAAGCTCTGTATACGTCAAGAAATGACAAATCTCCACAAGGACACCAACAGAACTCTCCAGGCTACATTACGCGTGACACTGGCGCTTAAACAGGGATCCGTGTCATGCGTAGCGTAGCCTAGAGAGTCCTGTTGGTGTTTTGGTGTCCGGTGTAGAGAGTCGCGGTGGAAAGAAAAGTAAGTGACGAAGAAGAAAAGGAATTTAAGAACGATTCAAAATTTCAGGTGAAAGTGTGCCGAAAATGGTGTAATGATGATGAAAAAGGTCGCATCGTCACAGGCTAAGGATTTTAAATACATAAATACCTGTAAAACACAAGTACATTAATTATTTAGAGATAGATAACACTATTATCACATTATTTTTGGAATCACATTTCATCTGTAATTAAATATGTACTTTTTCAATTTTCGTCCATTATAGCAAAGCTCAAGTTAAACTGGTCGTTTTGAACTGAAACAATTGACAACACCCATCAATTGCTTCGAATTCGGAGCGCATTTGTAACCGTAATGATTTGGCAGAATAGTTTTCAAACAAATTAAGTGACATTTCGTCTCTATTTCTGGTTATATACTCGGTGATTAAAAATGAAATGTATTATATGATGTTTCGTAAATAAATAAAATTACAAAATAGTAAAAAAAAGATTCAGTATAGCATTATTAGAGCTGAAGAGCAATGCGATGCTTACAGGTACACGCCACAAAAGATCGACATAGATTTCAAACTGCAGCCATTTATACCAGAGTACGTACCTGCTGTGGGCGATTTAGATGCGTTCATAAAAGTGTCCACGCCCGCTTGTAACGTGCGCGCCGCGCCGCTCTCCGAACGCGTGCTCGAGCATATTGATAACTTAGGTATGTAGTAATATGTAAGTGTAAAAAATTAAAAATGTTGGTTAAAACCACGTTTACGAGTAGGTACATACGATGTAAAGATGAAGCTACATCCGATTACTAGCCGAATACTGCCTCGAAAGTAGCCATAGTTTGCAAAATTCGAACGTGTGTAAAAATACAAACTAAATGGGTCCATCCAAGAGGTGTTGCTTCAATTCAGTACTTATTGCCGTTCATACATACATTTTCACACAATTATACTTAATTACAAAATATAAAAGTATTTAATTTTGTAATAAATAACAGTATTATAATTTATTTTCCTTATTAAGTGCCTTATACTCCACTGTAGTTTGCGGTTTAAGCGGCGCGCCTGCTTTATTTATACATTTGATACAATTGCGGAAAGTTAGTCATTATTCACGAGTCCCGAGGCTTCTTGAAGACTCGAGACAAGTGAAAATGACAAATCTGCACGTGTATCAAACGACGTTTTTAATACATTTGCGAAAAACCTACATTAAAAGTAAAATAAAACAGAATTAAAAAAATACATTTTATTTCTTTGTTTTATAAAAATTCAGAGTACAATGGCAACTGTTGCCAGTATTCAGCCACATTAAAATCAAATTAAATAAATATACAACCTCTTTAGTTCTATGTTTAAGACTTGAAACAACAGTAAATAAAAAAAGTGGAAAAGTAAAAAGCTCTAGTGCGGAAAATCCAACTTTCGGCACGATTTGTAGTAAGCAAAATACAACGTTTTGAGCAACTGTCTTAAAAAATAAACTTTTATGGTTAATAATAACATATTGAGAGATGTAATGGAGTAAGTGGACATATCTTATTGTAATTATTTCCAGGTCTGACCGTCCTGGACGAACCGGCAGCAGAACAGAGCGATTCGGCCTTGCTACATCTGCAGATGAGAGCTATTTCGAAGATTAGCAGTACTAAATCCACAGTGGTAAGGTTTCAAATTCTTTATTTATAACTACATGTTCTCCTTTTTAGGGTTGCGTAGTCAAGTTCTGTATAGAAGTGTAAAGGGTGCTGGTGATTTTTTTGTTTAGTCCTCCCATCCATTCCGTCCGATTATCTTTATTATGTAGGTATTTTAAAATTAATAACGAATTTAATTAACTGCCTCTGTGGCCGAACCATGCCGGACTGCTACGCAGTGGTCTCAGGTTTGATTCTCGAGTTTGGGTGTAATTTGTGGTTGTCTATGTGTGTGTGCCCATGGCAACCGCGACACAGGGTTTCCTTAGTGCGGGGCTATGTTGTGTGTATGCGTTATTAATTTATATATTTATTTCACTTATATTTATCAAAGTCTCCATGTTTTGTATGAATGGTAAAAAATAAAGGTTTTAGAAGTAAAATGTCATATCAAATTGTAAAAAGGTGTATACTTATATACCATGTTTTTTTAAATAAGTAAAGGTAGTTGAAAATAAAAAAAAATAAGTCAATAAATTAATTTGTCATTGTAAAATAGTTAAAATTGTAAATAGGATTAAGTCGATATATTCCGATTGAGTTATATATTTAAAAACTAAATTAAAGTAAATAAAATTATCTAGCGTCATAAACAGGACGTGAATAATTTACAATTTAATAAATTACTAATAACGAGTTACGTTTTGTAAAATTATTTTATTCCAGTTGACGAAGAAGATAGAGAACGCTGAAAAGAACTCCAAAGCCGTAGACCGATGGATCAAAGATGTCAGTGAACTGCATTTGTCCAAGCCCGCTCCAACTGTTACTTATACAAGGTAAATACGTATTATTATTAGGGTGGCTTCATTCGGGGCCTATGCGGCTCCTCATCACTGCGACTCGACTGATCTATTGTGATCACCACTAATTACAGTTCGTAGCAAAGGCCAACAGCATCGTTTAACTGAAGGACTCTCCTTGCTCCAACGTTTTTGTCCTCTGGGTGTGTGCCTGCCTAGTATGGAACTTCGTACGCCCATTAGAGGGCAGTACAGGGTGAGGAGATGCACAGGAGTATCATGGTAACCTATCACAAACTATAATTTCTTTTCTCCGAATTTCGTTACTCCGAAAACGGTTCGATTTTTTTTCATTAGTGCGATGACAGTTTTGGTATAAATTTAAAACACAGAAATGTCTTAGAATAAATTATTACACATAGTATTCTTTGGGCAGAAGTTTGTTTGGTCTAACCATGTTTGTAATACTGTCTGTTTTCCATATAATTTAGATTCGTTTCGACAAAATTATTTTTCTTAGATAAAATTGTACCGCCATTCAATTTTACCGTACAGCTTCAAAATTCTGGGCTGTATTTTGCTGGTGCACAGCAAGTCCACTTTCATAATTTTCGTCATACCATTGTGCTATGTTTTTGCTGCAATGTAATTTAAAAACAATGGTCTCGAGTATTCAATAAATAACTTGTAACTGAATCGAAGAGAGTACCAGAACCAAATTTGTTTGCTTTTCCTATCTATTTCCTAGTTCGACCCCCTCCTGTGGGTTTAGGTTAGGTTAGTATATGAAAAAGCCGCTCGAGCCGAACGAGCGAAGCGAGCGTGTCGCGGCAGCGGCCGGCGAGTGCCAGAACCGAATTTGTTTGCATTACCTAGACGGCACGACCCCCTCCTCTAGGTTTAGGTTAGTATATGAAAAAGCGGCACGATCCGAACGAGCGAAGCAAGCGACTACAACTCGAATAAATTAATTTGCGTCTCGTTTACCATATTTTCTAAAGATGCGAGGTGCTTTAATTTGACGAGTTACATTGTGCGACACGTTCTAATACTTTTAATATCTGTAACAAGAAATAATTTAACAAAAATGTATCATGGATATCGTTTTTTTACAAAATAAAAATATTCAATTAGATACATTGGTGAAATGTTTTGTTGGGGAAATGAAAATCGGGAAAAGAATAACTTGTCAATATGTCAAAATAGTGTAACATTAAATGGTGTAATCATGGTGTAATGGAAAAAACCGTAACGTGTTTTCTGACAAATGAAACAAAATCGAGTTCTTAGGTTTTCGCGATTGTTACACATAGGAAATGAAACTATTTTTCCGGATTTAAATTAAATATAAAATTAAAAGAGTCAACCGTGACCATGGGACCTGTAAAAGGCCCGAAACGTCGGTTTGTTTGAAAAAACAAATATACGCGATTTAACTACGGAAAAATAGTTTCATTTCCTAAATGACACAACATCTATTCAAGAAAAGTCTAGGTTTTCGGAGAAACAAAATTCTGTAAATCTAGTTTCTAACTTGTGATAGGTAACCGAGTTTCATCCGCCTCGTGGCAGAATCTACATTCTCTGTTTTCTCACTCCCTAATATTTGACATGACTATTGTGCTTGTTCAAGCCACAATGCCTGTTAAGGCTCTGTAAGCAGCTATCAGGGCTTTTGAATGGTCAAGACCTTTAGACGTGTGCGCTCTCGTTCAGCAGAGTGAGCTTTGCCAGGTTGTGTGCTATCCCTATAAAGACCAATGAAGGCCTCCCTAGCACCAGCCTTTGCCAGTTCGTCTGTGCCTCATTACCCTCGACGTCAGAGTGACTTGAAACCCAACGCTGGACCACACTATTCCTTTCCTCGAGAGGAAAATTCGTGAGGTCCGCTGGTTCGTTCCGTGGCTTAGTTGGTATAGCGTCTGGCACGGTATGCTAGAAGACGTCGGTTCAAATCCGGCCGGATCGAAGGAATTATTTTTGAGTGTTCGATCTTTGTGTTAATAATTATAACAAACTAGTGGAGTAATTTACAAACTTATTTTTCAGTAAAATGCCAGATATCGACAGTCTAATGGAAGAATGGCCTGAAACCATAGAAGAAACCCTTAACGAAGTCGGGTTCCCGCCTCCCAATATAGACTGCTCACTGTCACAATACGTCGACCTCGTATGTGGACTCTTCGACATACCAATCGGAGGAGACTCTTTGAACGATAGGATACAGGCGCTGCACTTATTGTTTAGTTTATATTCTGCTGTGAGGAGTTCTCAACTGTACGCTGATAGACAGAAGGAGAAAAATGTCGAAAATATTTAGTGTTTCAGTAAATAAAGCCTTGATAACGTGTTTGTATAGTTTTTTTATGATGTGATGGGACCAACAAGTCGTGCGCCTGGTTGTTAGCGACACGGCTGTACATATGGCAGTTGCAGTGCTACATAGACTGAAGATCTAAAGGGCACTGCCGCTGCGTTCGTCACCCTGAGACATAAGTTTACAAGTCTTAAAAATGTGCAGCAAAGCTCAGTACTGTTTGACGGCTGAAATAGGTAAGGTGGCAGTACTTCTCTGTCTTTCACATGGAGCTCTACTGGTACTAGAAATCTATATCTTGCCTTATTAATAGTTATGTTTAATCAGTTTGACGATTTCGTGCATAACAACAAAGTTCTGAAACGTATTTGTTATCCATACAAAAATTATTTATTTAGAATTTTTATAACAACACTTATACAACTCTAGACTGAAAATTTGTACACAGAACTAGTGGAAGAGACAATTCTCAGTAGTTCTGTCAACAGAACTAGTGGGAGGGAAAATTCTCAGTAGTTCTGTCAACAGAACTAGTGGGAGGGAAAATTCTCAGTAGTTCTGTGAAGAAAACTGTCTATTTCTTAACAGAACAAATGGGAAACAAAGTGCCAGTAGTTCTGTACAACAGAATAAGTGGGAATAAACGTTTTGTATGAGAATATGTAGTAGTATACGCACCTTGGTGTAATACGATCCCAAAATGACAACTTTTGAAGGCATTCTTGGAACGAAATTGGTCGATAATTTCTTTTTCATAAAAATTAACTGAACATCTGAAAAAGGAGAATGGTATCTCTGGAAGGAGAGATATCCCAAGAAATCACTCATTCCGCTGTCATAGCACCTCTTTCCTGGGCATAATCTACCTTCGCATACTTGGAGGTCTCTAAATAGACTGCGGACCCAAGTCGGTCGAAGCAAGGGAGCATGCACAGCTGGGGTTATAGGTCTGAGAGCGCATGTATTTGTGGTGTTTCTCCCCAGACTATGGCACATCTTTTGTTCTGTCCTACGTGCCCCTTCACCTGAACACACGAGGACCTGTACAACGGCACTGTTAATGCTGTGTCAGTCACTGAGTACGGTCCTCAGAAATATAAAGGTCAGAGTCGACACGCGAAGAATAGCTTTTCTGTCTAATCTGGAGAATAACTTTTCAGGTATAAGATTCTACAAAAAGTAGTCGATACCTATGCTGCCGCCCTTTGTTAAAAGGGCGCTCGTGACAAAAAGTCAAATCCGAGAAAATAATGCTCAAAGAAAAAAGAATAGACAAAGACACTTGCTGCAAACGCAATATAATAGGTTTATATTACACGCATAATGTAAAAATAAAAAATTTAATTATTTATGCTCAATTATCAAATTATTAACCCTTTCCTTTTCATCATAGTAAAAAAATGTTCGTAAAATACTCAATACTAGGTAAGATGGACGCAAGTAACCACTTATGCCTTTTTTACTTTAGTGTAATAATAAGACGAAAGGGCAGCATGTAGTTACAATTTCTTTTCAATGTTTCGTAGCTTAACATTTTTAAGTTTTGTTACATTAAATAAGAGGTAACATTTTCACTTTATTTTAAATTTATGTCAGGATTGTGTAACCGTCATCCGGGAAATTAACATTTTTTGGTAAATACATATATCTACAGCTTTAACTGAAGAAGACAGAAACTTAAATATGACTTGCGTCTTTTCATTTACTTAAATAATTGAAATATGTAGTTAAAACAAAATTATGTATCTAGGCAATTACGCCTTTTTACCAATTTATTTTCTAAATGCGTCCAATTAAAGTTTGACCATAAAAGTGTTGGTACTTACGCCCTTTTCTCTTACGGTAACTTCATAGCTAATCCATCTAGGAAAAAATAAAATGATGGCAGATTTGTCTTTTTTTACTGATCACGGCAGTACACGTAACGCATTTTTTGGAAAAAGTGTCACATGCACCCTTTCAACTTACGGCGGCAGTATGGTACATTCAACAGGGTACAAAAGAAAAAAATAAATGAAAATCAATAAGACATTGGTAATTTTAACATTTATTTCATTCGTAATACTAGACGATATATACATGTTTAACTTGCGCCTTATTAGCCTCAAATGTAGTTGTCGTATTGGGGGTTCTTTGTAGTTGACTACAAACCTTAAAATTGATTGTTTGGCATCGGGAACTGTAAAGGGAAAACACTCAATACTATTTGTCCATACAAAACTACATTATATGGAAACAGATTTCTTTATCAAACCCAAACAATCCTTTAAAAGGTTTGAATCGTAAATAGTTTATAGCCTCTATATTAATAAAAACGCACCTAAAGGACTTTCACACTAATGTTCGTGTTGCGAGTGGATGAAATAAGTTCCTTGAAATTGTGCAACATGGCGAGATCCAGTGCAACTTGACAGTCTAAAGTGCGAAAGCCCGACCGTGTAACTTGGAATATTATTAAGAGCCAGTCACGCGAACGAAGCTAACTTAGCTTACCTCATGTATCCGGGGCATCTATTCATACTTCGGTTCAAGCTAACCGACCTAACTAAGCTAACCCAACGATCCCGCTAACCTATGTAAAATATGTCGCCCTTTTACCGTTCTTCATCCTTCTTAGCTTAGTTTTGCATACAACTAAGTGAGCTAAGTTAGCTTAGGCTAGTTCGCGGGTGTGGCCTGCGCTTTAAATCAGTTTCTGGGTTTGAAGTTCTGAATTTCAAACGTTTTTAAACATTTGAGATTTCTGAAATTGAAAATGACTTTCTAGTTACACGGTTTGGGATAGAAATAAATCACTAATATTTAAAAAGAAAACCATAATTATACATAGAGAAAACACATAGAATATAATATAATCTAAACTCCGTTGCTATACAGAGTTATTGTAAAATAATACCAAACTAGTAGGACTATACTACTAACATCATAAACAACAACTGTTGTTCCATGGTTTTTAATAATTTATTAGATTTTACTTCCGTATAAAAATATATAAATATATCGCTCTAAACTGTGTTAACTCTGTGCAGTAACAAAAGTAAGCGCTAGCGTAATGCCAATCCGAAGCAAAACGCAGGAGTTCAAAACTCTAGACAGCAGACTGCATTTGAACTGCACTCCGGCTGTAAATTTGCAGTTTAAATGCAGTTCAGAACTGCATTCAACCGTTTCGTTGGAACTGCACACCGACTGCAATCGGGCACGGTCGACGTTGTAGTTCAAATGCATTTGCGGCAAATTTGCAGTCAGAGTGCAGTTGAAATGCAGTCTGTCTAGAGCTTTACGTTTGAAAATTAATATGATTAGTAATAATAACGCTAACACACCCACAACTAGTTGAAAAAAGTTGTTGTTTACGATATTAGTAATACAGTCCTCCAAGGTGGTTAGTATTTTGCAAGTAACCTTGTATAAATCTTGAAATTAAATAGCTACAGTAAAAGGGAGCATTTGACAACAAGCCAAATAACTGTGTTGGCTCATTTGGCGTTTGATAGACACTTAGATGTATAATTTAGCAGGTGTTTTAATTGCTAACCTAAAATATCCAGGTTTAATAATAAAGACAGGTCTGTGACATCGTAATCATGATACATAATGATCCTCATAATTGTACAATATAATTTTTAATTAGTAATAATCCTGACTATATATATACACTCCCGGACACATAACTCGCATCAATATTAAGTGGCTTAAGCTTAAACAATGTTCGATTGATCAAGAAGTATCCTACGCAATTCTGAAACTAGTATATTAAGGGTCGTATTCCAGAACTCTACTCAATGCTCAAGTCAGGATTTGAGTATGGTTTAAAGCACTTGATATCATACTCAAGTCCCTGCCATTTGGGTCGTATTTCCAGTGCTTGTGTTGCCAGTGCAATCCTGACTTGAGCATTGAATAGAGTTCTAGAATACGACCCTTGTCTTTTCCATAACTTCTTGTTGGAAATTTGGACTTGCAAATCCGGAGGAAACCTTTTTGTTCGATCACAACCATTGACTTACAAATAAATGGACGACGGGTCTAATACAAAAACCACGAAAAAAATGTCCCAAGTTAATCTACTTAAACGTAGTGACATGTAAAGGAATATGAAAAAGCTAAAACGTTGAATTTAAATTGTAATGTCATCGCAGTACCGTCTAATTTTGCTTGCTTCGCTGTCAGTCGAACAAACGAAGACTAAAGCGTGAATGACGCTCTGTAAACGATTTTAACGCCCTATAAGTTCGGACACTTTTTAGCGCGGACCCGACGTCCATATAATTGTAAGTCAATGATCACAACACTATTTTTGTATTCTAGCCCTAAAAGGCAAAAACGGGAGGTGGCTCGAATTGTGTCCGGGAGTATGTATACACTTGGTCTGTCTTTTTTGAAGACGGAGTAAAATGACTGTTCATTGGGCAAGTGTTGCCCGCTTGCGAGCAACTACGACTATCGAGTGAATACTGGTCATGCTTACTGAATAAATAGCCGAACTCGTTTCATATGAAACACCATAATTACTGAGCACAAGTTTTTGTAATACGCAATTAGTAATATTTAGAACGTCTTAACATTCACAATTCAGTAATTTTTGCCAAAATTTTATTGTTCACAATCTTATCGATAAAACTATCGACAGCAACTACATCACTATTGAACATTTAATGAAAACTGGCAACCCTGCAAATGTCATTTTACTCCGTTTTCAAAAAAGACAGACTACAGGTTTTGGTATAAGCCATATTGGTTTCTTTGTGTTTTAAACCAATGTTTCGGGTCCTGTATTTTATTTCATTTTCTGGTGGATGTTGGCAACTGGCTGGAGCAGTGACTCACTGACAGCGACGAATAACTTAAACCTTTGTCAGTCGTTATCAGCGGGCAGTGTAGTTTTTTTTACTTGATTTTCAACACTTACCCAATATTATAATTGTTCACTCGCTCGACAACGTTTTGATTTTTTACCTCTTTCTAAACGTTCCGGTATTTCAGAGAGTTATTATGCGCTGTATGTGTATCATTTGAATTTTAAGT